GTGCACGAATGTCATCTGTGGGGAAATAATCTGTCATTCCAGAAAGTCTGTGTTAGTTACTGAAATACAGATGCAGTTGGTATAATACTTAACCAAACTAAAAACAAAACATTTTATGTCATGAATAATATCTACATTCTTATCTTTAAAAACCTTCCCTTTTCTGTATCATTATGGATTTACGGTCACAAAACAAAACTAAAAACAAACAAAAAAGGCAAGCATTAGATAAAAAATTGTTTGAAGCAATTTCAAAGAGATCAACAGTAAATTTTATCAATTTGATAATTTTGTATTGTTAGTCAAGCAAGAATAAAAAAATGAAGTATTATCAATTGAAAACTACACTCATGATTCTTCCCTAGCCAGATGTTTTCTTTTGTCAAGATATTCTGAAGAAAAAAATGTATTGATTTTCAATCAATTTATTTTTATTTCAATTTTTTTAAATTAATTTTTAATTAATTGTTTTTAAAGATTTTATTTATGTCAGAGCCAGAGAGCATAAGAAGGGGGAGCAGCAGACACAGCAGACAGAGGAAGAAGTAGGCTCCCAGCTCAGTGAGGAGCCCTGTGTGGGACTCATTCCAGGACCCTGAAATCATGACCTGGGCCAAAGGCAGATGCTTAACTGGCTGAACCATCCAGGCATTTCTGCACCATTTTTAATAATTGATTTTATTTAACCAATGCAGTTCCTTAGATTTAAAAAAAGTATTTTGTTAGAATTCCTGTTAGAATAAATATTAAAAATAGTATTAGACCTGTAAGTGCAATGTGAATGATTTCAAAGAATAAAAGATGCACCTGTCAGAGACAAAATTTCTAAGGATGGCTTCATTGATTTCATTCAAACTGTTTTATTCAGAACAGTTCAGATTAGCAGCAGCAGCCGCTGGTAGTCAATGAAACTCTTTTCCACCTACTCTCCTGCTGGGCTTACTGTAGGCACAAAGAGACCAAAATGACCAAAGTCAAAGCATGTTAGCACTTCCAGGTTTTTTGCTCGAATGATTTTTTTTTTTTTTTAATTCCAGTGAAGTTAACATACAGTGTTATATATTAGTTTCAGTTGTACAATATAGTGATTCAACAATTCCATAAATCACACTGTGCTCATCATACGTTCCCTCCTTACACCCATCATCTATTTCACCCAACTTCCCACCAACCTACCATCTGGTAACCATCAGTTTGTTTTCTATAGCTGAGTCTGTTTCTTGATTTGCCCTTTTCCCCCATTTGTTTTGTTTTTTAAATTCCACATATGCATGAAATCATATGGTATTTGTCTTTCTCTGACTTATTTTGCTTAGCATTATACTTTCTAGCTTCATCCATGTCATTCCAAGTGGCAGGATTTCATTTTATGACTGAATAATATTCCTATAGATATATAATCACCTCTTCTTTATCTATTCATTTATCCATGGACATTGCTGCTGCTTCCATAATTTGGCTATTGTAAATAATGCTGCAATAAACAAAGGGGTGATGTATTCCTTTGAATTAGTGCTTCTTTGATTTCTTCACTTGGATATTAGGATACAAAGTCAGCTTTGGTAAAAGGTGTCTAGAATAACCACACAGATTATAGTAGTTAGCCATCTCACACCAAAGCTCAAGCTGGTACACAGGCTCCAACTCATGAAGTCTTCAGGAACCCACCTTGTTGTACCTCCAAAATAGCTCACAACCCTTTCTACAGTCTGATCATCAGAAAGGGACAAAGGAAAAGAGGCATCCCATTTATTTTAGAGTATCATCTGGAAGTTGCTTACGTCATTTTTGCTCACGTCCCACTGGCCAGAACCTTACTGACATGGCCATACTTACTTTACTATAGGCAACCATATGTCCAGCTAGATAACTCCATTATCATGGATGAAGAGGAGAATGCATATTAGGGGTCAACTAGCAGTCAATCTCTACTACAGATATCCACTCCAGAGATATAGGCATCTCTAATTCAACATTTGCAAAACCCAGTTACTGCTCGTTCTTCCAAAACTTGCAGTTCTCCAAAATAATTCCCATATCAGTTAATGGTGGAAAATGGAACAAATTAGTTCAATATTAAACATGCTGAGCTTTAAGGTGCTGTTGAACATCCAGTACAAATTTCCAAAAAGAGTTTGAAGATATGTCCAGTTCTGAGCAAGAGCAGTGTCCAAGATTCAGACTTGATCCCTAACTGAAATAAGTGATAAAGGAAGAATATATATATATATATATATATATATATATATATAGTACTGGGACAGACTGTATAATACAGTAGGTAAAAAGAACTGAGGATTGAGAGGAAGAACATTCTGCAAAGAAGACTTGAAGAAGAGGGCCCAAGACATAGGGAGAGAGGCTAGAGAATGCAGGATGATGGAACCAAGGGAGCAATTTCCAGGAGGCAGTAGTTACCAATGGGGAAACCTGCAAAAAGGTCAGGTACAATGCAAATTGAGAAGCAACTTTTAGATTTGGCCTTTATGCTATTACAGACAGCTTATAGTAAAATGGGGACAAATGTTAAATTTCAATAGTTGAAGAGGGACTTAGAAAGAAGACAATCCAAGTACAGATAGCTCTTCTAAATAGAAGTGACAGAGTTAGCATAGCAAGAATTTATGAACAAGAGTGGGAATAACCAAGGGACTGAGTCTTGAGGTCTCACCCCTCACCTGCCAGTACCCCTACACCCGCCTCCCCCCCAAAAAAAAGCTGTAGGAAGAAGGATGGCTCATACTGTAAGACAGGAGATCAGGGTGAATACAAATTTAGGTAGCTCTGTAAGAATTTAACGGTGGAGGTGTAGAGGAGTTCATGAAGTGTGCAATGCTAAACAATGGTATTGATAATATTAATACTACTATTACTAAGCCCTAACATTTACTGAGCACTTATCTTATGCCAGTCAATGTGCTAGTAATTTTTATGAGCAAACATCACAAAATTTGAAAATGGGTAAGACAAAGAGTATAGTGCGGTCTTGAATCAGGCGTGACACTAATATCAGACAGAATACCTATTAATGAACTAAAAAAGCCTATGCGTAATTTCTCCATATTCAGAGGAGGAACTGCAATCCTTCTTGATTTTAGTAAAGATCGGGATAGTCATTCTAACATTTAAGAGCAGATTTACTGGGGCACCTGGGTGGCTCAGTGGGTTAAGCCTCTGCCTTCTGCCCAGGTCATGCTCTCAGGGTCCGGGGATGGAGCCCCACATCCAACCTCACATCCAGCCCCACATCTGGCTCTCTGCTCAGCAGGGGGCCTGCTTCCCTCTCTCTCTCTCTCTCTCTGCCTGCCTCTCTGCCTACTTGTGATCTCTGTCTGTCAAATGAAAAAGTAAAATCTTTAAAAAAAAAAAAAAGCAGACTTATTTCTCTTCAGTCTTTTTTTTTGGTACTCGGGAATTTTGATGCACCAGGTTATATAAAATTTCATTATTCAAGCAATTTCTACTTAAGGAGAATAGTTAAAAGTATCTTCACAGGCTAGATACTGAAGTAACATATTGCTTTGATCATTTTAATAAAAAAAATTTGAAGATTTTCATTCTCATTTGCCTATTTTGATAATACGCAAAGAAAATCCTTAAAAGATTACGATTTTAACTAGCCTCTTCTATAAAATGTAACCACAAATTATTTCCAAATGAGGATCTATAATGGGGGAAAATGAAAAAAAGAAAGAGGAAGTAAGTTAAAATCAGACATGATTTAATACTGTCATTTATTATTAATTGTCCTGGGATAATTTAAATTCCGCTAGCTTTTTTTTTTTTTATAGTTTAAGTTTTTTAGTTGCTTATAACTGGGAAGCAGTATACATAAATATATCCCTGACTTATAATGTTCTAAGAATGGCAGCTAAATACACCGCTATTTAAGATTGTTGATTTAAAAAAAAATTCTTTGAATACTAGATGAATGGGATCTCATATAGTATTTTCGGGCTTAGTAAAGTTGCAAGCCCTTAAGACTATGAATTGTTAGTGATTCCACTATATTTGCCAGTTAAGCGTCGCAGAGCCATAAAAAAAAAAAACCAAACAAACCCTTTTTAAATAAAATGATGACCTGGATACTAAACATGAAGATGCATGGTTTTAAATGGGTTCAGTTGTCATACGGATCAAAATTAGCATCCATCCAGCTGATGTTAACCCGAAGGCCACAATCTCTTTAACAACCACCTACCGAATGTCAAAACTGCGAGACGGACTTTCATCTCCTAGTAAACTAATGACATCGTATTGGAGAGAGGCCTGAGCAAATGACCTTGGTTCCCTGAAAGATGGCTCACACTTTCGGGGTACCTCTGCAGTATTTACAAAGGCAGCTCTGGGCGGAAAGGGGTTGGGGTTCAGAAGCCTGGTATCCGGAGGCTGCAGCCTCGCAGCGGGACAGGGAGCTATCAAAGCCACCCCCGCCCCCGGCGGATTTTCAGAGCTGATTCGTCCCCCTAAAATCGGGCGCGTTTAAGTCCCAGCACATTCGTCGACTTGCTTATACCAGGTGGCTCTCCAACACTCCCGGAGGCTCCAGGGGGCTTCCGGTGTGTACCCTCTTCTTTCGGAGGGGGGTGGGCACAGACAGCGGTGGCTCAAGAGAAACACTGACCCTCTTCTCGATCCCAAGATGGCGACCAACCCTTGTTGGACTCCAGGTAGCCGCGAGCCACTTCCCCTTCCCAACTGCCCCTGCGCTGCCGACGACGGCAAGCAGGAAGGGGGAGGAGCCATCAAGAGAGGGCGGGGATAACGCTGCGCCCCCACCGAGCGCACCCCGGCCCCGCCCCACGTCCCTGCGTCCGGCCCAGAGCTCTCGCCAGACCGGGCGGCGCGCGCTGCCTGCTGGGATACTCGGCCCGCCCAGCCAGTCCTCCCAGCTATCGCTGCGGCCGCGAGATCCGCGTTTTTCCCAAGATGGTGGCGCTCGGTTCGGGGTGACTGCAGGAGACGACAGAGCTTGAATCCCCTTCGCCAGAACCTCGACACATCACCTTCCTCCCGCTCGCGCACCCCGCTGCCACTTAGCTATCTACCGGCCTGGGCGCTCGCCTTCAGCTGCCGCCTCTGACTTGCGCTTCATCTCTACGAACCCAACGATTACGGCCGCGGGCAGCTGCGCCTCCCTCGGCTCCTCCTTGGGGTCGCTCTCGGAGCAGCTCGCAGCGTAGCTCCGGCTCAGAGGGCCCCGCAGCTCCCCAGTGGGGAGAAGCAGCGGCGGAGCGGCGGCTGGCGACGAGCGCGGGGTTTTCTGCGGCCCCGGCGCCCCCTTTCCCGGCCTTAATCTCCGGAGAAGGAAGCGCGGGTCCCGCATGAGCCCCGGCGGTGGAGGCAGCGAAAGGGAACGAGGCGGTGGCGGGCGGAGGCGGCGAGCGAGGGCGACCGCTACCAGTGAGGCAGCCGCTGCTGCGAGGGCCACAGCCCAGGCGCGGGGGCGACAACAGGTCAGTGCGGCGGAGGACCGGCCCTGGGCCGGGGAGGCTGGGCGGCATTTCCCTTCGTTCTCTCTGTTGCCCAAACCACCCTTTGGGGCTGGCTCTGGCTAAGGTAGGGACGCTCCCAAACCGCGCCACCGCGAGTGTTTGGGGGCGCGTGGTTTGGAGGGGTCGGTGCCAGAAGTAGGCCTCTGGAAGCAGCGGCTGCTGCTACCGTAACTGTCAGTCCTGGCTGAGGGCCGGAGGGAGGGTTTTGTGCCTAAGGGGACGCTAGCGGGCCCGGGGCGGGGCGTGTAGGGCGTGGAGAGTTGGCCCTCCTTGGAGCGAAGCTCACGGAGCAGGCCCGGGCCCCAGGCAGGGCAGGGCTGCCCTTTTCTTTCCAAGGGGAGCTCTTTTTTCGAGGTTTGGGCCCTGTTGGTGAAAATGTTTAGATGTGTGCTTTGGAGGTGGACTGGTGGGGAGGGAGGGCGGATGAAGTGGGAAATCAAGCCCAATCTTATGTTCACAGATTATCGATTATCGGGATTTTCACATTAAATGTGAGGTATTGGGTTTGCCAAAGATTCTGTTAAATGCAGACCTGCAAACAGTTGGCTTTTTTTTTTTTTTTTTTTTAATTTTCCCTTTTCAGTTGAGAAAATGAAAAGGACTCTTTCTTCGTCATGGCGTGGAGGTTTTGTTGGTAAAGTCAGAATTGAATGTGGCAAATGCTTTAGTCCATAAAATAGTTAGAAATAATTTTAACATAGACACTGAGTTTAGAATTCGTCAAAGATAATTTAGTCTCTGAAATTTAAAAAACGGCCAATTGGCATACTAAAATAGAAACGTTACTAAATCTGTCTCGGATTATATTTATTAAGTGCTAGGGTACTTTGGAAAATGTAAACGAATAGTAGTATGGGATTTACAATCTAGATTTATCCTCCATAAATCATGAGGTGGTATAGATATGACCCATAATTTTGAAGAATTCCACTGCCTGTAATATTGAAAGAAGCAGGAAATTATTCCAGAATATTCTTCGGGGGAGGGTAGGGGCCTTGAAAGGGAAATGACCTAAAGTTTGGAAGTATAACTGTTAAAAAGTCACCTGTCAAAGTCACAGTAGATACACAATAAATCTTGAATGAATTAGACAAGAGGGATGAGAAGTGTTTACTTCATAATCTCTGACTAATGAGTATTCTTACTTAGATTACTGGGTAAACCAGGTACAAAAGTTTAGAATTTAGGAAGATAAAAATAAAATTTTTGTCGTGATATGTATAGTTGAAATAATTTTAGAATTAGATCTTATAAATCTGAGCTATCACATTTGTAATAAAATGAATACAGTATTAGTGACGGTCCTGATAAGCCCAAAGAATGACCCAGAAGCTCTTTAAAGAAACTGATAATAATGACAACAAAAGAAATAGATTCAAGAAATAATGATCCTCTCTTTATACAAAATTAGAACTGGAAACTAAGTCTTGTATCAGTATTTATTAACTAACGTTAGTATGCTAAGTATTATGTACACTATTGTCTGGACATTGCCTAGTTCCTGAGGAGTTTAACTTTACACAGAGATACAATAACGGTGTTCTGATTTCTCTGTAGAGGTTTTGTAAGCTGTTTTTATTTTACCTCTCTTAAACTGTACATTTTTTTTCTTGGCTTAAAAAATACCTTCTTAAGTATATTTGTTAGAAGTGTGAGGCAGACACATTCTCATTCCACTTGTTAAGTTCGTTTAATAAGATTTATTGGGTACTTACAGTGTCTTGAGTATTTAACCTTTAATCATTTGTATTTCTTAAACTTCAGATCATTTTATAAATGATCCTTCTGCTGTCCCTGCCAAAAAAAAAAACCCACCCCCCCATCAGAAATAATTTGCTCTTTCAAATAAGCAGTCAGTGGGATAATCCAAAACTATGGATCATATGTAAATTTTTCAACCCAAGCACTTGAAATATTTATAAATGTTTATTTTCTTAAATGATTACTGGTTATGTTCTTATCATGTTGCACATTTTTGCTTAGACCCAAACTTGTATTGGTCAAAACGTAGAGACATTTCATTAAATGCACATAGAGTTGCTAAAAAGTTAGTTTTTTGATTTTTATGAGTGAAGACAAGTTTTCTCTTTTCAGGATAATTCAGGATAACAGAGTTTTGGCCAATTTTGACTCTCCTTTCACTGTAGATGTAAAGATAAATTCAAAAACCTTACAGTACGTACAGTTCACTGTACTTTTAATTCTGGGCTCACCTTAGTTGTCTGATCTTGGCAAGTTGCTTAGTCTTGGTGAGCTGCAGTTTTGTCATATGTAAAAAGGGAATGGTGAAACTAAATAGAGTTGTTTTGAGAATTAGAGTTTATAAAATGTCCAACACATAGGCCCTTAATAAGTTTAATCCTTTGAAGTCTTCCTTCCCTATTATTTTTGTTGTTGTTCTCAAAGCATCTTACATAGGGTGGACTCTAGCATGTTATCCTTTACATTGTTTCATTCTCACTAGCTGGGAACTCACTCTTTAAGGGCAGGGACTCCTAGTGTTTACCAGAAAGTGTGTTGCCAGCATATGGAATTAGTAGTCAACTAACATTTATTGGGTACCTACTGTGACTGTGAGCTGGGTTATATGTAGGAGCTACTAAGTCAGGAATCCTGTCTGTCTTTTGGAAGCTTATTGTCTAATGACTTTCTCCATGTAGCACCATTTTTTTTGTGAAATCCTATCACATAATGGAGCCTCATTCTTCTGAGCTCTTCTAGTCTTAGGGCAATTCTTTGGACTCAACACTTCCAGCGGTAGCTGCTATTCTAAAGAATATTGTTTTACAATACAGTATTTATACAACTCTTTGGCATATGTGAGATAGTTTTTTTTTTCCCTGTTAAGATTTTATTTATTTATTTGACAGACAGAGATCACAAGTACACAGAGAGGCAGGCAGAGAGAGAGGAGGGAAGCAGGCTCCCCGCTGAGCAGAGAGCCCGATGTGGGGCTCGATCCCAGGACCCTGGGATCATGACCTTAGCTGAAGGCAGAGGCTTTTTAACCCACTGAGCCACCCAGGCACCCCTTGTGAGATAGTTTATCTCTCTACCTTGGTCCTACTCTGTAATCCAAAACCTGGCAGGTTGTGTGTGTGTGTCTGTGTGTGAATGGCTATGTATTAAAAAAAAAAAAAAGAAAGAAAGAAAGAAATTTACTTTTTCAGTTGCCTCAAGTACTTTGGTATTTTTCTTTGGTGATTATCATTCTTTCTTCTGGTTCTAGGTTTATAGAAGTTTCAAACCTCAGTAGGACTATTCTTGAGGCCAGTCACTCCATTTATTTTATACATGAAGAAATTGAAGTGCAAAGTTTTAAAATGATTTTCTTGAAGTCTACCCGGTGATAGAGCTAGAACCGCAGTCTGAGTCTCTGGACTAGAGTTCAGGACTCTTTGCATTCAGTGGTGCATGTTCTGTTCTACCTTTTGAGAGAAGTAATTTGCTCCTATTTGAATCTTTTCTACATTATTATTAGAAGGCAGACTTCACAAGATACCATCATTGGGCCTTTTCTGAGCATAACAGTGCAGGAAGTGGGGCTTTTTCTCCTAATAAAGGAAGTCAAGTAAAATTACAGTAAGTAGTAATGGTATTAATCTACAGACATATCCTATGTCCGGAACAGATGTTTAAAATACTTAAAGATGCTATATAATTTCTTAAATGAAATAACTAATTAATAAATAGATGATAAATTTCTTTGCCAACTTTAATTTTCATTTACCCTCAGAAATGTTACCTGTAGTGTGTTTTGATCTAAGTTATCATTAATAAGTAACACCATTATGAATAATGAGTCAAAATGAACTTTGTAAGTTTAAGGCCAATCTGAGAATGAAATAAAGCTAATACCTTTTTTTGGGAATATTGCTGTTTGCAAATGAGATTTGGTTGACAGTTGTTTCTGTTTGATGCTAAGCTTCGTGACTGTGAACTCCCTAAAATTATATATAAATTTTAAGTTTCAGAGTCTCAACAGGTTCAGTGAACAAAAGCCACCAAGAATCACTGATGTGGAGGAAGAAGCACTAACTTTGGTGTCAGAAGATGCATGGGTTCATCCTTCCAATCTAGCTTCCTAGCTGGTCATGAGCAGGTCATTTACCTTTCAAAGCCTTTGTTCTGTTAATGTCTGTTAAATGAAGGTGATACTTGCTTTGTCTCTTTCAAAGGATTGTTTTTTCAGATGTGATGATTCTCAAAAAAGTAGAATAATACTGTATAAAGTGAACTTATATGTGACTTAGTGACTTGCCCAAGAAAACAAGTTGGTTAGTAATAAGCAGGTGATTGGAACATTGGTATGTTTTCATGCTTTCTCTATAAACATTTTTTACTTTTCATACTTTCAGAAGTATTATTTTGGGAATTACTTAGTATGTGAGTTTATTTTAAATTTGTTAACTACCTTTGAAATAAATAGTAAGATCTTAATAATACTGATTCAGTATTACTGATTACTGATTCAGTATTACTAATCCTAAGTCAAAAATGCCTTCTGTAATTTGCTTTACTTTTTTTTTTTTTAAGATTTTATTTATTTGAGAGAGTGCGAGAGAGAAAGCAGTAGAGAGGGGAGGGTCATTCAGAGGGAGAAGCAGACTCCTCACTGAGGAGAGATCCTGGCACAGGACTCGATTCCAGGACTCCAGGATCATGACCTGATCATATATAGGCAGACATTGAACCAACTGAGCCACCTAGACACCCTAATTTGCTTTACTTTTGACCTCTCCTGTTAATTTGAATTAAGGTGAGTCGTAAGGTTGACCTGAAAGTAAAAGAGGTTTTAGAGACATAGATTCTTATTGGGTAAGATTATTACAAAAGTTCCATCCTAGGAAGTCTTCTGGAATCTATAACATAGCGCATGTGGATCATAGAAAAGAATTCTATGTAAGACTTTATTAAAGTCAACATCTATGCCACAAATAAAAAGCATGGAAATTGCATTT